TATGTTAAAGGAAGGCATTCATTGTACATTGAAACACTTCCTGGATGAAGGATTACATGAAGTAAGATTGCATCCTCTGGGCAAAATTTGATAAAATATATTCACAAAGGGATGAGGGTTATTCCATTAAAATGGATGTGGGGATAGGAAGGGACTTTCTAAATCCTCCATAACCAACAAACTTTCTTTAAGTACTTTTGCTTACATCAAATAGATAAAAATTCCATAAAGACGGAGGATCCATATCCTAAAATAAAACTTCCCTTCCTACCCTCCAACATAAATGTTTATGAATCATCCCTGACAAAACATAGCTCTATGGGCAAGACCTATAGAATATTAGTACGGTGACAAATAAGCTAAATTTGAGAATTTAATGGACCGAAATACCTCACGGCTAATTTTGGTCTTATTTTGTAGATAAATATAATATCCTTTGATTAAGGCGTGTCGTAGAGTGCCAAAGTGGTGCAGATTTTTTACTGAGGTCAAAGGTCTTTGACCTATAATGGTTAACTTTTACTAATTATGACCTGGATGGAGAGTTGTCTCATTGAACTCATACCACATCTTCTTATATCTATAAACAATGGAATATATAGCAGACTTGAAAGTCTGATATATATGTAAGCCTCAAATCTATGTCCTTTTTAATATTGCGTCATAGACGTTCCAAATTTATGTCCTTTGTTGTCTCAAATCTATGTCTTTTATTGTCTCAAATCTATGTCCTGCATTGTCTCAAATCTATGTCCTGCATTGTCTCAAAATCTATGTCCTGCATTGTCTCAAATCTATGTCCTTTGTCGAAATGTGGTGACGTAAGACATAGCAAGAATAATCAATTAAAAAAAATGTGTAGTTTCAATCTTGAAAGTAACATACATGTATGCTCGTTATGCCAATAATTTGTACACTGAATTATGTTGTGGTTGTTGAATGTTGATGTCATGGTACACAATGGATTTTTAAAAATACATAGATTTGAAACTGGAATAGTTTCACCAGAAAAAAAAACTTTTGTAATAATTAAGACAGTGCACAAAATGTCGTTGTTAAACACAATAAATTATACCCTAAACATTTTATGTGGTATCTATACATTGAAACATTGAACAAAACGTTTGTAAATAGGTGTATGTGTTTATAGCTTACGATACAGAATAGGTTTGATTCATTGTTGACGGCCGTATATGTATCTTTAGTTGCTTGTATACAGATGTCATTTTGTCTCAGGTTGTTTATTAATTTATATTTCCAGACGTAATGAGTAAAGGGAAGTAACGATAATTACTACAGAACAATTAACGGGATCAGGAAATGCAAACAATTTGAAAATGTTGTAGTTTTACAATAAAATGTAAATCATACAATAATTACACACGCATGTAAAAATTTTAAGCACACACATGGAGAACACACCCCAACTTAACATTGAATTATTGGAAATGACTTAATAAAAAAAAAATCCTATAAGGCCGTACTTATTAGACGGGCATAAATTTGTGCATGGCGAAACAAACTGGAAAAAGATTTAAGGAAAGGACACAGATTTGAGGCCGTATCTTTTTTAACAGACATAGATTAGCGATTGACGTCACGATGGGGCACAGATTTGAGAAACGGACACAGATTTGAGGCCGTACACAGATCTGAGGCTAACATATATGTGAACTACAAACAAAGATTCACAGGGATATTACGCTTCAAAAGTTGCTGTCTATGTTTAATTATAATACACTAACACTAGACATCAATATGCACATCAATTTGAAAAGGTAACGGAATCCTAGAAAAAAAAAGTGGATGTCAATGTATGGCGCCGACAAAACTCATGAGTTTATTCAGATCACCATGTACTGATTGACCATTGCTTCTGGGGTCATTTTGATCCGCGGTGAATTGATTTTCACTGCAACATATGTGTCAATATAAGAATCAGCAAGAATGACAAATTTTGATACATGCATGTATTTCCCCGACCTCTTGTAATTGTCTTCCTTTGCCAATTTCGATTACAGAAGACATGTCGCATCCTGTAAGAGCGCGAGCTGCTGTTGGTGTGCCAGACATCAGGGGTCCAATAACTTTTAATAAAATGCTCCGCAGGGCGCAGCTTGATACGACCGCAGAGGTCGAACCCTGAACAGTTGGGGCAAGTATGGACACAACATTCAAGCTTGATACAGCTTTGCATTTGGATTGTGATTAAATATTTGACACAGCATAGGTTTCCGACACAGAATGAATGTGGTCTAAGAACTTAAAAATTTTAAATTGGACATTCACCTATTATGGTCCAATATCCAAAATCTAAATACATGGTTAGATTCAGCATATCAAAGAACCCCAAGAATTCAATTTTTGATGAAATCAAACAAAGTTTAATTTTGGACCCTTTTTACCTCAATGTGGACAAAGTTGATAACGGGGCCCAAAAATCAAAAATCCAAGTACATGGTTAGATTCAGCATATCAAAGAACCCCATATATTCAATTTTTGTTGAAATCAAACAAAGTTTAATTTTGGACCCCGATTTGGACCAACTTGAAAACTGGGCCCATAATCAAAAATCTAAATACATGTTTAGATTCAGCATATCAAAGAACCCTAAGAATTCAATATTTGTTAAAATCAAACTAAGTTTAATTTTGGACCCTTTGGACCTTAATGTAGACCAATTTGAAAACGGAACCAAAAATTAAGAATCTAAATTCACGGTTAGATTCGGCATATCAAAGAACCCCAATAATTCAATTTTTGATGAAATCAAACAAAGTTTAATTTTGGACCCTTTTGACCTCAATGTGGACCAATTTAAAAACGGGGCCCAAAATCCAAAAACTAAATACACGGTTAGATTCAGCATATTAAAGAACCCCAAGAATTCAAGAATAAAACCCCATTGAAATTGGTCAAGAAATAAGCAATTTATAGGAAGTATCTTCTTTTGCACAATACTGTGCAATTAAATATTTCTTGCTATTGCGCAATACTGTACAATTGACAATTTCTTGCTATTGCGCAATATTGTGCTATTGGATATTTCTTGCTATTGCGCAATACTGTGCAATTGAAGATTTCTTGCTATTGCACAATACTGTGCAATTGAAGATTTCTTGCTATTGTGCAATACTGTGCAATTGAAAATTTCTTGCTATTGCACAATACTTATTATATAATAATTTACACATCCTGTTTGGTGTGTATCTCCTACCATATCATTATTATTTGCTTTTAAATATAAATCAGAAATAACCAACTTAAAATGGAAAATTTTAAAAGAAAAAAAAAAGGAAAAAAAGAAAAAAAAAGGAATAAAAAAAAAATCCCCCCCCCAAATTTTTTTGAACCCCCTTATGATTCATCACCCCCAAACTCAATCCCAGCCTTCCCTTTGTGGTATGGTACCTTGCAGTACAATTTCAGAGAGATCCATAAACTTGAACACAAGTTATTGTCTGGAAACTAGAAAAATGTGTTTTTTGGCCCCTTTTTGGCCCCAAATTCCTAAACGTTTAGGGCAATTACCCCCAAACTCACACCCAGCTTTCCCTTTGTGATATGGAACCTTGTAGTACAATTTCAGAAAGATCCATACACTTACACACAAGTTATTGTCATGAAACTAGAAAAATGCTTGTTTTTTGCCCCTTTCTGGCCCCTAATTCCTAAAATTTTGAGGCAATTACCCCCAAAATCAATCCCAGCATTCCTTTTGTGATATGGAACCTTGTGGTACAATGTCACAAAGATCCATACACTAACACACAAGTTATGTCTGGAAGTTACAAAAATGCTTATTTTTGGCCCCTTTTTGGCCCCTAATTCCTTTACTGTTGGTACCATAACCCCCAAAATCAATCCCAACCTTTCTTTTGTGGTATTGAACCTTGTGGTAAAATTTCATAGATATCCATTCACTTAAACTAAAGTTAGAGTGCGAAAACCAATGTGTCTTCGGACAACGCCGGACGAAGCCAGACGACGACGACGACGACGCCAACGTCATACCAATATACGACCACAAAAATTTTTTTGCGGTCGTATAAAAAGTTGCATATGTCGTGAATAGGTAAAAACTGTTTTGTGGCTTTGGTTGAAGAAACGCCTCCAGTCTAAAATCAAAATTCAAAATATTTGAGATCTGAGGAAAAGACCTTATTAGAAATAAAACATAACTGTCAAGATTTTAATATGATGCAACCCTTGGAATAACTTTTCAATATCTGTTCATTGGCAAAAAGAGGCGGCAGAATAATTCTTATATCTGCCTCTTCAGTCACTTACAGATCCTACACAAAATTGCCTCACAGTCTATAGATTTTAAAAAGATCCCGCTAGAAATATTTCATCATGTTCTTGCAAATCAAAATCATTGTAGTGTGATAGTGCATAGTTACAATGTACCTACAAATCTAATCAACCCATGTTAATTTTCAGGTGCACAAAGAAATTTCTTACAATCTCTAATTGATCTGCATTCAATGACTTGAAGAACAATTTCGATCTACCACTATTTGAAATAAACCTTATTGTCTCTTTGACGCCTTTAATAGCTGACTATAGGTGATATATATAAGAAATGTAATATACTTTGACAGACGGTAAGATTGAAAAAAATGTTACATACATTTGAAAATCGTCCAATTCACTCAATTTATATGTTCATATGATATTAATGTTTGATGTCAAATAAAAGCTGATACATAACTCTTTCATCTGATACCAATTTGTTGATGATATTTTCATTCAGGAATTTATTATAAGCGTTCCCGTGTTTGAAAATGAAAAAGAAAAAAATCCGAAAATCACACTTTAACGCGATTTTACAAAAAATTGCACTGTGGGAAAACTCTATGACAGGGCTAAAATGAAAGTATAATGTTTAATCTATCTTCATGTGAATTTTCAGCCGTGAGGTATTTCGGTCCATTAAACTCTTTAAATAAGCGACTTTTCCCGATTTGTCACTCCACTATATTAACAATTTACAAACCACAGTTGTAAGTTCCTTTTCAATTTCTGGTATCAACTTTTCTGAATCTTCAGGATATGGAACCTTCAAAGCTGTATACTGCAAAATAAAGAACATCTATAAGGAATGGAAACATAATAAAACGCTGGAAAAACAAGAAATGATTGTAACAGGATGCTGTTATGAAGTCTCCCAAACGAAGCTCCCATAATTCGTAATTCCCAGGGTTGCCTGACATTGGGCAAAGTCCAGTGAAAATTGGTTTGGTCCAGTAAAGTTATATGCATTAGTGATGCCTGGGGACTAACCCTGTATATCATTCAAATCACCTTGGCATGACAAACCAGAATATATATGGTTTAGGGGTGGGGATCTCGACCATTTACAAGATACTAGAACATTGGGGGTGGGGGGAACCCCTGGGGCCTAACCCTATACGTCATTCAAATGTTCGAGACATGACGAACAAGAATATATATGGTTTATGGGTGGGGATCTCGACCATTTACAAGACATTAGAACATTGGGGGTGGGGGGAACCCCTGGGGACTGACCATATACTTCATTCAAAAGTTCAAGACATGAGGAACAGGAATATATATGGTTTAGGGGTGGGGATCTTGACCATTTACAAGATATAACTTTCTCAAATGGCAGGGGGTCGGGATGACCCCTGGGGACTAACCCTGTATATCATCCAAACCTTCTTCGCATGACAAACCAGAATATATATGGTTTAGGGGTGGGGATCTTGACCACTTACAAGATATTAGAACTTTCTCAAATGGCAGGGGGTGGGGGTGACCCCTGGGGGCTAACCCTGTATTTCATTTGATGTGTTTTATCATGACAAACCAGAATATATATGGTTTAGGGGTGGGGATCTCGACCATTTACAAGATATTAGAACTTTCTCAAATGGCAGGGGGTCGGGATGACCCCTGGGGACTAACCCTGTATATCATTCAAACCATCTTCGCATGACAAACCAGAATATATATGGTTTAGGGGTGGGGATCTTGACCACTTACAAGATATTAGAACTTTCTCAAATGGCAGGGAGTGGGGGTGACCCCTGGGGGCTAACCCTGTATTTCATTTGATGTGCTTTATCATGACAAACCAGAATATATATAGTTTAGGGGTGGGGATCTCGACCATTTACAAGATATTAGAACTTTCTTAATTGGCAGGGGGTGGGGTGACCCCTGGGGACTAACCCTGTATTTCATTTAATGTGCTTTATCATTTAGAAAATTTTCAATTAAAATGATTGTGTCTATCACAAACGGTTTTCAATTTATAATCATTTGAAAATTTAAAAAAATAAAATCCCATAGGGTTCTATAGTAAAACCCTCCTTTCTTTTTGCCCCTCAAAGTACCCCTTTATAAACCCCAATGCACAAACAAAACCCTGATTGCACCACTAGACATGTTAGTCTAACATATTGTGAAACCCTAAGTTAATCTGACAAGCGGTTTTGGAGAACGGGTGCGGACAAGTTCAAATTTAAAAGCAGCGGAAGAAGAAGAAGAATAATAATAATAACTGAGCAAAAACAATAAGTCTTCCCAAACTTCGTTTGGGAGACTTAATAATAAACAATCAAACTATTTTTGGCTGTCTTTTTTTAACATTTGCCTCTCTTTAGACTTTTAGACTTGTAACCAATTCAAGTTTACTTTTAATAAGCCTGTCCTATACAAACACTTTCCTCATACACTGTCTGTATTGATTCTCTTAATTTCTAGGTATGTTATTGGAAACTGGAAGTTTAAAGTAACAATATATATAAGAATGTAACACTTGAGTAGGACATTAAGGGGTAAGATCTTTTAAAGACAATTCAAAAGCTTACGATATAGTTTCTCAGGTTTTTACAGTGTTCAATTTTGTTTAGATACATTTACTAGTATGGTACAATGTTCAATTCAAAATATGTAATGCAAATTCACACTTCTGTGAAGAGATAACCGTTAACTCTTCTCTGTGCATGGATTTCCTAAAGAAGATTAATACAGATTCTAATATGAAGTTCTTCAAAGTTTGAAGAAGTTCAAACGCTTTGAGTACACACCAGTGGTAAAATACTATAATATATTGATATGTCAGCTGATCAGCAAGGTCATGATTTGTTACACAACTTATGCTTTAAATGAATGAGTTACCCAAGGTCAGACAGGGTAAATGACATCAATGAACAATGGCATAAGAATATAAGCATTCTACAGGAAAATGCAAACTGAAAATCGTCAAAATATGAAAACATAAACAAACGATGATATATTAATTTGTTGAAAGATCATTTTCTTAACTCATTCGACCCCAAGAGATTTCTGGAAAATCAGGCATTTTCCAAAATTTGCAAACTTATACAAATTATATGCAAATTAGTAGACTCTTGATGCTGTAACTGATGCTGATCTATTAAACTATGTATTGAGATTTGGGGGCGGATGGCATAGGTGGGGTGGGGTGGGAGGTGTTATATTTTCTGGTGGGTTTGAACTCACCCCTACTGAAAAATGGTCATTTTCAGTCTATTTTTCGATTTTAATACGACCTTGAGAGGTGAACATTGACTAAACTGTGTTTCTTTGTCATTCAAGTATTACCTTACAGTTACAGCAGTCTATCCATACTGACTGGAAGTAAATGTGACTTGAGAATCTTGCTGGGGAATTATTATTGGCTAGCCAAGTATGCCTAAATGTCCGTTTTTACCGATTTCTGACAAAACGGTGACTTAGATTTTACAGACCATTTTTTTGGCCATATTATACCTCCTTGTGTTCCTGTACCATCTATGCATGTATTTATGATAATAGTTGATACCTAAAGCCCATACCAGTAACATAGTGACCATAAAAAGACTCCCACCCCACCTGATTTTGGCTACTTTTCACGTTTTTCCAATTTTGAACTCTAAAAAGGCCATTAAAGTTGCCATATTTTCATGATCACACATCTGAGAAGAGTTTATGGACCATGAATTTCATGGTTGAAGTCCCTGCTGTAAAGACAGTTGAGCTGGGGCAGTTCTAAAAATGTATGGTGGGTCATACAGGCCATCAAAGAATGGTGGTCGCCATCACGACTACAGGCTGGATTGGGGGCAAAGGGGTTAAATAAAAGTCAGATAATCATTTAACTTCATTCAAACCTATCTCAGTATGTTAATTGTTAATTGTTTAAGCATGTCACTCATTCAGTTTCTTTGTCTTTTACATCAATATTAATAGTGTGTTCAATTACTGGAATAGTAAATAATTCGTTCACCTAGAGCGCTTAGATAGAAAAGAATTACCGTCTTTGTCCTATCAGAATAGAAATACTTCACGGGGGCTTGAATTGATATTGATTTTACCATGGGTAGGGCCTTTATGCCAATATTTCAACCCTCGTTATCACTCGAGGTATAATCATGATAATATTTAGCATAAATGGCCAACCCATGGTAAAATCTATATAAATTCAAGCCCCCATGATTTACTTCTTAATTTTAAGGCTTTCACTAAATTTTTGATCATACATTCAACAGAATAATAAATAAATAAATGGAGAATGTGTCCCCATGGACACAGATGATGCCCCCGCTTGCATACAACATTATAAAGGGACATAACTCAACAACGATAAAAGTGATGCTACCCAAATTTGTACTTGATCTGAGTTTTACGGTAATAAGTATTGTGTAGAGGTTTCATAATGTTTGGTTGGGGCAAACTTAAGTTACAGAACGGAAACTAAACAATTTGCCATTTTTTCAATTTATAAAGGGGCATAACTCGATAATGATTAAAATGACTTTACCAAAATTCAATTTGATCTGTGTTTTGTGGTAAAAAGCATTGTGTATAAGTTTCATAACTTTTGGTTGAGGCAACTTAAGTTAGAAAACGGAAACTAAAAATTTTGCATTTTTTTCCATTTATAAAGGGGTATAACTTGATAATGGTTAAAGTGACTCCACCAAAATTAAAACTTGATCTTTATTTTGTGGTAATAAGCATTGTGTATATGTTTCATAAACTTTGGTTGAGGCAAACTTAAGTTAGAGAACGGAAACTAAAAATTTTGCAATTTTTCCATTTATGAAGGGGCATAACTCTAGAACAGTTTAAGTGATGACACCAAAATTCAAACATGATATGTGTTTTGTGATAAGCATTGTGTATAAGTTTCATAACATTTGGTTGAGGCAAACTTAAGTTAGAGAACGGAAACTAAATATTTTGCAATTGATCCATTTATAAAGGGGCATAACTCTAGAACAGTTAGAGTGAAGCTACCAAAATTAAAACTTGATCTGTGTTTTGTGGTTATAACCATTGTGTATAAGTTTTATAACATTTGGTTGAGGCAAACTTAAGTAAGAGAACGGTAACTAAAAATTTTGTAATTTTTCCATTTATAAAAGGGCATAACTCTAAAACCGTTAGAGTGACCCTACCAAAATTCAAACTTGATCTGTATTTGGTGGTAATAAGCATTGTGTATAAGTTTCATAACATTTGGTTGAGGCAAACTCGAAGTTAGAGAACAGAAACCAATTTTGGGACGTACGGACGTATGTACAGTACGGGTAGAGACTTATTACTATAAATAACGGACTGGGACATGTCGGAAATGAATAATCCAACTTTTTTATGGTAGGTAGTATGGTCATTAATCAACAGATCCAGGTGTGAACGGTAATATAATTGTCCTTTCATCTCAATCCGTGCTACTAGATTATTACACTTCACTGATTTCAGAATCAGGTTACCTGTGATTTAAACCTCTCAGTCACTTTATTGATTAGTTCTACATCGTATTTGACATAAAATATTTTTACAGGTGAAGTACTGGAGACAACTTAGTTTTAATAAAAATAGCCTATTTTTTTATTTATGGCTTTTTATATTTCAAATGCTGTTTATATTCCTCAAAATATTATTTTTTATGTTCCCTGGTTTTTTTTTTGTTATGCATCTTTTTCGTATTTGTTGGCAAACAGTTTTTAAAAAATTTTCTTTTTTATTTCTTGAAGGTTATTTTTGTTTTACTGATTTATTTTCCATGTAAACCCATTGATTAGCAGAATGATGATCTGCATACGTTTTAGTTTGACAACACTACATTTGTATTTAATTTTCAGTCTGCGTTGGGTCAGTTCTGAAATAAAAATAATTACAGTGAGCAATACTTGTATACTAGTAGTTTGGTGATTCTTTATAAAATTTTGTGAATTTACTTTTTACTGTAAACAAATATTGTCCGAAAGTTGGTGATATATAACTAAAGTAGTACGCAAATAATAACACTAGAAGAAGATAACGATACTTCTCAGGAATTAGGTTTATTTTGATATTTCTGTGTTTGTTAAATATGCATGAAATAATTGCCACTGACATGAATGGACATTAAAACTAGAAGCATTCAATCGTTTGATGACCAGTTAATTAAATATTTACTATGATTTGTAGTCTAAAGAAATGCAATTACTCCCATTTAAACAATTTTATGGTGCTGCATTGACTCTTAATTGCATAATATTAATTTACACACAATGCATGTTAACTTGTATGTTGTATTTTTGACACCAATCTAAAAAAAATATTTGCCGTGAAAAGACAATTCCATGCATGCATCCATGATACACATATCAGTGATCAACAGCATGTGGTTGAACTTTGAACTTGACTTCACTCACAATACAATGTTGAATGCTAAAAATAGCTGGGATTAATTTTGTCAAATGCACGTGATTTTCATATGGCGGGAAATATTGTAACAGTTAACACAGGTGACCTTACTGACCGACCGTGGGAAAATCCATTCATGATTTAATTTGATACGTAATGATTGGCAGTATTGTGCGTTAGTTCTGAGGCTCTTGATCGAGATCCATTACTAATTGATTTACCAGAATAGAAAATTTAATCCTTGTACATATAAACAAAACAAGCTATAGTCTTCTTTAACTATTTTATTTATTATATTTATCAGTCAACACCCAGATTCCTATTTAAATAATTTATTCGGACACCTCCTTTAAAGTTCGGGAATTATACAATTTAAACTGCCGACATCAATTTACAAAATCTTACTGACTGCACGAGCTTTAGAATGGCTAGAAATACACCGCAAAAGTAAAGACGACTGATCATGAATAGTGTAAAACTTTGATCTTCGTGTATTGATTGACACAATTCGTAAAATATGTTTATAAAAAACACGATTTTCATTAAAATTTCAAACATTGAAATAGAAAGGCAATATCTTTGTTATAATACAACGAGTGTCAACAAATCTGTTGTTTCCATTATATGTAAATTTATTAACAAACAAAATTTTAAATAATGCTGGGTCATATATAGAATATTGACGTGAATATGATATGAAAAGTTTTTTTTTATATAAAAACTAGGAATCGAAGATGATCAAGGCGTTATAAATATTGTAAAAAAAAAAAATTGTTTCAAAGAGATTAACGGGAAATATATGTCAAAATAGAAAGCACGGATGATCTGGCTGACCAAATTGTTTTACATGTACTTGCGAGAAATGATTGACAGGTATGAATATACGTAGAGGCTCCGACGGGGAACGTGGTATCAAAAGGAAAATAACAGTTTATTCACAATGCCTATATTCAATTTGTTTATATACTTTATAAATACGATATGTTGGCCTTATACTTAAAATTGTGTTTCTATTAATTACATAAAGGAACAGGACGTTAAAAGGGGGAAATATTGTAACCATCAACGAAAACTCGTATAATTTACGGGATTACTCAACATTTTGATTAAAACTTCGATTGAAAACAGTCCTGGTTGTTATAATTTTGAATAAAATGAAATATTTACGGTTTACAAATACAAATACAAATAGTTTATTGGCACAAACACAATTATTATAATTGGCAACACATTTTTACAGTACATTGTTAAAAATCTTCTTTCTTTCATTTTCAAGTTTAAAAAAAGTTGATCCCAAATTCATGATATTAAATTCTTATTTTTATTGTAATTTTTTCTTTGAATACAAAACAATATTTTACATTTATTATCTATCCTCCATAAATACTAAAATATCTGTACAGGTAAAATTTAATTCTAATCAAGCTGGTACAGATTGATTTACGACCTTCCACTGGGATATTGTACAGGTTAATATCACAGCAGGTGTTAATTACACTGAGACAACTGTCCGACCAGTCTGACATCTAGACGGATTAAGACATCCATAATAATAAGTCTCTACCCGTACTGTACATACATTTGTATGTACAGACAGACAAGGGTAAAACTTAATGCCCCTCCTCTACGGCGGGGGCATAAAAAGAAATTAAAAGTCTTCCAAAGTCAAATACATTTCAGATAAAAATTATACAGTGTATTAAAGGTGATTTTCTTGCAAAAGTCACATGCAGGAAAAAGTTGTATAGCTTGTCCCATATTACAATAAACTGTTTACACAGAGATATGTCTCACCTTTTAGTAATTTTGATAATGCAAATGTTGAAATTAAAATAGCAATACTTTAACATGTAAGTTATGCAAATATTCAAAGTCAATGAACCTTGACTGAAGGTACATGGCTAAACAATCTCCATGGACATGAGATGTGCCAATGCTAATACAACTTCATACCAAATACCATTGACTTATCATAAGTCGTTCCCTTTAAACAAACCTAAACACAAACCTATGTAAAAGTTTCAAAGTCCATGAACCATGATGAGGAGTGGGGCTATATAATCTCCATGGAGACAAGACTTGCAAATGCCAATACATTTGCATAACAAATATCATTGACTTAACATTAGTGGTTCATCTTAAACTGATCTCATCACAAACTAATACATGTAAACTAAGCAAAAGTTTCAAAGTCAATAGACCATGACTGAGGGGGCGGGGCAAAATATTCTCCATGGAAATGAGATGTGCTAATGCGTATACAACTGCATACCAATTAACATTGGCCTACCACTAATGGTTCCCCTTAAACTGACCTAATTACAAACAAATACATGTAAACTAAGCAAAAATTTCAAAGTCAATAGACCATGACTGAGGGGGCAGGGCCAAATAATCTCCATGGAAATAAAATATGTCAGTGCTTATACAACTGCATACCAAATGTCATTGACCTACCACTAGTGGTTCCCCATAAACTGACCTAATCACAAACTTAATAAAATGCTCCGCAGGGCGCAGCTTGATACGACCGCAGAGGTCGAACCCTGAACAGTTGGGGCAAGTATGGACACAACATTCAAGCTTGATACAGCTCTGAATTTGGATTGTGATTAAATATTTGACACAGCATAGGTTTCTGACACAGAATGAATGTGGTCTAAGAACTTAAAAATTTTAAATTGGACATTCACCTATTATGGTCCAATATCCAAAATCTAAATACATGGTTAGATTCAGAATATCAAAGAACCCCAAGAATTCAATTTTTGATGAAATCAAACAAAGTTTAATTTTGGACCCTTTTGATCTCAATGTGGACAAAGTTGATAACAGGGCCCAAAAATCAAAAATCTAAAAACATGGTTAAATTCAGCATATCAAAGAACCCCATATATTCAATTTTTGTTGAAATCAAACAAAGTTTAATTTTGGACCCCGATTTGGACCAACTTGAAAACTGGGCCCATAATCAAAAATCTAAATACATGTTTAGATTCAGCATATCAAAGAACCCTAAAAATTCAATTTTTGTTAAAATCAAACTAAGTTTAATTTTGGACCCTATGGACGTTTATGTAGACCAATTTGAAAACGGAACCAAAAATTAAGAATCTAAATACACGGTTAGATTCGGCATATCAAAGAACCCCAATAATTCAATTTTTGATGAAATCAAACAAAGTTAAATTTTGGTCCTTTGGACCTCAATGTGGACCAATTTAAAAATGGGGCCCAAAATCCAAAAACTTAATACACGGTTAGATTCAGCATATTGAAGAACCACAAGAATTCAAGAATAAAACCCCATTGAAATTGATCAAGAAATAAGCAATTTATAGGAAGTATCTTCTTTTGCACAATACTGTGCAATTGAATATTTCTTGCTATTGCGCAATACTGTACAATTGACAATTTCTTGCTATTGCGCAATATTGTGCTATTGGATATTTCTTGCTATTGCGCAATACTGTGCAATCGAAGATTTCTTGCTATTGCGCAATACTGTGCAATTGAAGATTTCTTGCTATTGTGCAATACTGTGCAATTGAAAATTTCTTGCTATTGTACAATACTTATTATATAATAATTTACACATCCTGTTTGGTGTGTATCTCCTACCATATCATTATTATTTGCTTTTAAATATAAATAATCAGAAATAACCAACTTAAAATGGAAAATTTTAAAAGAAAAAAACAAAATCCCCCCCCCCCAAATTTTTTGAACCCCCTTATGATTCATCACCAATCCCAGCCTTTCCTTTGTGGTATGGTACCTTGCAGTACAATTTCAGAGAGATCCATACACTTGAACACAAGTTATTGTCTGGAAACTAGAAAAATGCTTATTTTTGGCCCCCAATTCCTAAACGTTTCGGGCAATTACCCCCAACGTCATACCAATATACGACCAAAAAATTTTCAATTTTTGCAGTCGTATAAAAATACATGAAAACTAAGCAAAAGTTTCAGTCAAAAAATGTAGTGTTACACATGAAAATCTGACACGCCAGTAATCTTACAGCTTTCTCAAATGCTGCAGCCATAGTGGGATCTGCCATTCTGTTCTTGTACAATGCAAAATCTATTTTCTTTATTTCTTCTGGATACTTGTTTACTCTAAAATCATATAAAATAATTTCTGTCATAAAATATATTGCTGAACAAAAAAATATGACTATAAAATTAAGTGCAATCTGTTATCATATCAACTAGTCCTATTAGATTTTACTAAAATTTAGTAAATCTACTGGTTCAGCATATTAATGAAAAATTCAAATTAATCAGTTTTTGAACAAATACTTTCTTAATTTGGAATTTAAATTCAGGCAATATATTTGAAAAGAACTTTGTGCATATGTGCTACTATAGTACAATACAGATGGATTTCAAAAACTTAAGCATGTTGGGAAAATTACCAGAATTGGATATAACATGTTTGGGATTTAATAACATAAAATTAACAACAATATTTTTAAGTGCACTTGTTTTCAATCAAAACCATAAACTTTCAAAAATTTCAATGATTTCTTTGGAAACAAGAGCTAAGAGCCTGAATTGCTCATCTGAATTTTTTTGTGTAGATCTTGCATCAATGATTAATTTTATTTGCTGTTCAATGTATATTAATAGTAGTCATTTAAAGTTTATGTCTATCTATCATAGTTTCTGCAAAAAACTAAAAATTTTTGGTAAAAATCATCTTTCAAGAGCAATAAATCCTTAAAGGGATCTATTGAAGATTTCAATCTCGTTAACTTATTTGTAGGTCTTACTTTTCTCACCATTTTTGCTGATTTAAATTTCTCTCTATCTATCATAGTTTCTGCTAAAAAAATTTAAACTAGAGGCTCTTTAGCATGTTTAGAGATATCTTCAACAATAGCCACTTTTTAGTAAAAAAAAATAATAAAGTTTTGCGCATGGGATACTTTGATTATTTCTCAGCTTTGTTCGAATCAATCTATAGTTTGAAAAAATGCATTTGTTGTCTACTCTATGGTCGAGTTGTTGTCTCTTTGACACATTCCCCATTTCCATTCTCAATTTTATTTGATTTTATCAGTCATTTGTCAGTAGTACGAGTGAATTGTAAAATTTAATTGCTTCTAATCATATTGCTAAATAGACACCCTAAGGGGACAAGTCCCAACAATATCATAAATAAAAATGCTAATTATTGTTATATAATCAAATCTGAATAATTGCTGTATCAATTAATGATGTACACATACATTATGTAAGTATGCTAAAATTACACTTTTTCGAAATTGATAATGAACATTTTTGAATAGTCAGTTTCATTACATTGAACTATTTTTTTTACTGTAAATATTAGTTTTATTCCATAATTATATAGAATAAGCATTCTGAGAGTATTGCATGGCAATACATAGTCCCCTACCGGGTAAAAATTCATTATACTGGAACAAAATGCTAACTTGTTCTATAACTTGTCATGGTGTAAACAAAACGAAAATATCAAGTCAATATTTTCAATCACAACTAAAAAAAGTGTGGAAAACAGATTATATGAGTGAATTTTTCAAGTCCAAGGACCATAACTCTGCACAAAATTATCAGACTGAAACAAAAATTTGAACTTGATCTGTATTGGTTATGATAAAACTATATACCAATTATCAATCAATATCTTCAAGCATGATGAAGAAAAGTGTGGAAAACACTCTTTACATTAGATATGATTAATAGTTCTCTAAAATTAGATATGATGTAATACAATGTATATCTACAGTTAACTATCGTTGTCTCGAACTCGGTTGACTCGAAATTTCGGATAAGTCGAAGTTTTCTCGTGGTCCTGAAATTTGTTCCATATAAATATATGTATTTCGACTCCTGAAGAGTCGAAATTGGATGAGCCGAAATTTTGGTTGAGTCGAACTAAATTTACGGTCCCAAGGTTAACAAAAGCATTCAAAATTCATTATTTATCTCGAACTAATACACATATGTCAAAACATGACCTCCGGGATTTAAATGGATTGAAGAGTTAATCTGACAATACAGGTGTAATTAAATTTCCGGTCACTGACCACTCTATTGATTTATGACATTCTATTTCCACGGGTGTTTACCTAAGATTATCTTTTATCACCATGATAAATAATTAGTGATACATTGTTAAAGTTTATGAAAAATTATTTAAAATGTTTACAAAAAAAATTAATTAAATTAATCGTGATTTACACTGATGAGCTTGGATGTGTATAAAGTGGGGATTAAGACTTCCGTTGGTGATCACATAAAAACTACTCAATCGGCGTCTTTTATCTTTTTGTATTTTTTTCTTTAAAAGAAAGATTGAGATAAAAGAAAATAAAAATAAATCTAAATTTCTAAAATCTCTTGTATCCGAGAATAAACAATTTTGTCAAATTAAAATGACTTAAATAACGCTAAGATCGATTGGAAATTACTCTCTCGGATAAAAGCCACAGGGAAAAATTGTAACTGTTCAAAGAAATAATTAAATAAGTGAAAACAATGTTATTATAATAATGAAAGACCATAACATACAAATCCCATCGATATGAGACCAGAATATCGATCCCCTTCCCATATTCATACAGATTTATTTTAGCTTAACCAAGCTAAGCAAGAGTTGTGTCCCTTGGTCTGTCAAACTTCCGGTTTTCGTTTGAGTCGAACTACGGGTATCTCGAAATATTTCTCTGGTCCGGCTGACTTTGAGATAACGAGAGTCGACTGTATTTTCAAATTATAATCAAATATAATTAATAGTTCCAAATATTTTCTTTCATTTGTCACAAACTAATTTAGATTTGTAAGTTGTAACTTATCTATAAAATGTCAACAACTTTTATCTATACACAATGTAATGTAATGAAATATATACCTTAATAAAAATACATTATTATCTAATTAAAGGATTTCACTTCATAAATTTTTTTCATATATATAGCATTCACAAAATTAGTTTATACAAAATAACAAACACTTCAAACAATTTACCAAAGAATGTCTATAAAAAAATCAGTTATCTCCCTTTGTACAGAAATATGGTTTAACATACAAAATGTAGTACTCTAACATTAGATATGGACCATGATAACTCTGGACTAAATCATCAGACTGGAACAAAATTTGAAATTGATCTATAACTTGTCATGATAAAACTATATGCCAAATATCAAATCAATATCTTCAAGAACGAAGAAATAAAGTGTGGAAAACTGATTTGCCGGACTGACGGATGAACAGACGGACGGAGAGCAAACCTAAAGTCCCCTTCGACTTAGTCTGTAGGGGACTAAAAAGTCAAATTGAACTCTTTGGTTTGCTGTTAACAGTTTGACCAATTTAGACAAAATGGCAATTTGATAAATATTTAGGGGACTTAACTGTATCTATCAACCTTATTGTGAAAACTGTCCTGTCGGAAAAGTATGGTACTCTTAAGATAAAGACCACTGAAGATTTGAGACCTTCTTTGATGACAATAGCTCTTTATCATTATCTAAACATATACATGTATTGTCATATCAATCAATCAATCAATATGAGTATTAGTGATAAAAAATGTTCATTGCTTAAATTTGTCATGTCATATTACATTTCTTATGTTTTGCCAACTGATATCATTTTTTTTACTGGTACACTACTAGTACTGGAAAACGATACTGGAACAAAATTTTTATTCCAGTATTGTTATACTGGTACGATGCAGTCCGCTTATTCTGCCCACATAAGGCTTTGATCGTTTGTATTTCTGCTTAATTAAATACAAATTGTATCAAATTTAATATAAATCGATTCACTGACAAATCAATTTGGAGTAATTTAAATCATTTCCAAAAAAATATCTGAAATAAATTTTAAAATCAACAAAACAAGTGGGTCATCTGTGTTTTTATCAGAAATGTGTTTGTCCAGTAAATCCGCCCATGCGCAGTAAAAATGTATGGAGGGCCAGTTTATCACATATTTATGAAAGGAAAAGGTGATCTATTAATAGACCACATATACAGGGATTCCAGACAATCGAAAAAAAAATCAATTTCAAGTCAGAAACGAGTTTTGTAAGCCATAATATGATTATCATTAGCTTTAGGAACTGTATTATATATATATCACTAGATATTTTCGTAATAAAAGATTTTTCTTTAAAATTTGTCATGCAGTGATGATAACAGTCCCTATAAATAAAATAGCTGAGGAAATATTCACGGAAGTGACAATTATGGAAGGAAATGGGAGTGGGCAGGTTTACCAGACGGGCGGAATTACTGGACCCTATACTGTATACCAGTATTGAGATTGACAAGTACAGGAGTTCCCTAGTCAAAATAATTATGACGTCTTGAAAGGCAATTTTAATTTTTTGCTTTGACGCATTCCTGCAAATTCACAGCAAAAAAATAAAATAGCCTTTCAAGACGTCATAGTTATTTGGACTAAGGAGATCCCATGTTTTCAGCGGTATCAGGTCCGTTCACGCCCAATACACGTTCGCCCCCTAGGTCCGTTGGCACCAAATTTTTATTCAAATTCAAGTTGAATTATTAGATATTTTTTTATATGTATATTCCAAATAAATATATATTTTCCTGAATAAAAATTGGGAATTATTATATGAATGTTTTTTTTTTCATCAATTTGATGATTAATTATGTACAAATGTAGGATTACTGCTAATTGGTATTTATACACAGCTAAATTTGGTATTATTGTTGTGTGTTTGAAAATCCTGATTGTTGTTTTAACTTGCTTTGATGTAAATACTGCATGTATTTAGCTTGGTATGAGTAAAACATTGAAGATTTTAAAAGAAAACATGAAAGATAATTGATTTTAACAGCTTGGCCCCTTTGATCTCACTTTATTTTGAAACAAAGAAAAAAAAATTTATATCACAACACTAACCAAAACATAATTTAAGATTTATTCAGCACAAAAAAAACGTGAGAATCTCACTTTATTTTGTAACAATGAAAACATAAATTTATAGCAATACACTACATGCACTAAGGCCAAAAAAAAGATATGTCTGTTTACGGTTACCCGACCGACCCTATTTTTAAATAAATCAATTGCCTGATACATCCCAATGTTCACAATCGTGAATATGACAGCTGTTTTAAGGAAATTCGCGACTCGTGTGAAGAAATAAACACTTTGCCGCCATTTTTCTCCAACCAATTACCAAGGGAAATAATCCAATCATTAAAAATACGGGTAAACTCGGCCCATGATCAATTCGGACCACCACAAGGCAAAACCGGATGACTCAAAATCATGTCACAAAAAATAAATTGAAAAAATAGAATAAAATGGAAATATGGACCTACCTACCCTATTTTTTAAAAGTATCATAGTATGTAACCTTAAACAGACATACATTTTTTTTGGCCTAACCAAAAGATGATTAAGATTTATTCAACACAAAAAACAAATGTTGTCAGAATCTCACTTTATTTAGAAACAATGACATTTTTTTTTATAGCAATACACTTACCAAAAGCAGAGACATATATATATAATACAAGAGATTCGCAACTCGGCGAAATCCCGTAATAACACGCGGCCACTAGTTAAACCTCGCGAGATCTCCTTAGGTAATAAAGTCATTAATAAAAGTATTAAAAGTACTCGAAGTAAGGACGAATGTTTAAGCATAACATAAACTGTTTCAGTGTTAAATTAATCATAATTAATTAAATATAATTTGAGTACATATATAATTATTTATTTTAATGTAATTTTGATTTTAGATTTGTATTATTGAAAAAGAGACATGATTTGATATTGTATAAAAAAAACTGATATTAAATAATTAACACTTGATAAATTGTGTCAGAGTTCATTTTATTTGATAGTTACATAATGGGTTCTATTGAATATACACCTGTCTCGGAGACATAATTTCACAGTGTGACATGTATATTAGGTTTGAATTATTCGATGACCAGGTAAATCGCGAACATGTTATAAATAATGAGTTTTAATTGACACCTTGTAAACAAGAAGTTGTCACACCACAGGTGTCCACACTCTTTCCAAAAATACAATTCACAAAATGTATAATTAATTAATATGGAAAAAAACTTAATTTATTTGTTAATTAATTGTTAATCATGATAGGCTTTGTTTTTTATTCTTGATATTTATAAATTATTTAAATTTTATTTATTTTTATATTCCTCATTTATTGGGCTTTCATTGAGTTTTTTTCTGTAGGATTGTCGGTAAATGTTTGATTTCTAAGTGTTGTTTACATATACAAATCCTTGGTGTAAATAAAATCTTTTATTATCAAATATATATATATATATATATAAAAGTCTAAATTGAAAACAACGTTCAAACCTATGATTGCGTTGGATAAAAACCGCAATTTTTATACGTGTGCATGTAAAACAAATTTCTTGGTAGAGGGGTCTAAATACAGCACAAACAACAATTTCCAAAAGACCAAAAAAAGTGAAAAAGTCTATTTTAACAAAACGCATTGGACTAACAGGTCGAACAACTGATGTTCTTAAACCCTACTGACTGCCATTGGCGATTGCCAAATAAATTGATCACCAGATCTAACAAAATAGATCTTAATATTAATTAAATACCAAACAGAAAACAATAAACTTGTGGAAAAGATGATATACCACAAACATATATATATATATCTTTTGCAGTCACCATTGAAATGTCCTCAATACGATTTATATTTAAAAATGAATTAGGTTCATGTTTTGAACGAGAAGCGTAGTCTGAAACGACAACAGATGCATATGAAGCTCATTCATAATATTACGACCAGCAGAAGGTTTCCTTTACTAGGAAAATTTTACTCCTTTTGTAAATTTACTGCATTCGTTCATCTTTGGCACCCTAAAAAGAAGAAAAAAACAATGACTTCAGAATAGGAGAAAATAAACAACTTTGCTATAAACAGAATGAAAAATGAATAAAATGTCTAACAAAATGCAGGCTATAAATTTCATAGTGCACAAAAAAGAAGGACTGATTTAAGGAAATTTGTCCATGAACAATTTCAATATTTAGCCAGTTTAATAAAAAATTTCGGGTATCAATCAGAAAAAATCGCCACATTGTTGGTTCAAATTTTACGAAAATAGTCTTATTTTCAGTCACGAAACAACATTTGGGAGTACTATTGGCCCATAAAATTATATATTTATTAGCATATTTTCAAGTTTTAAGAAAAAAATTGGGAGATCAAATGGTTTCTACGGCAATAGGTGAAGTAAAATGGGCCGAGTTTTAACTTTGTTTGTATTTGATTAATCTCATCATTAGAACACATTTTATCAATAACAAATTATTAGAATTAGTTTTTTGTAACTTTTAAATATACTTGCATGCTTTAGCTGTGAAAGGTATCGGCATTATCCATTAGAAAAATCGTGAGGCGTAGAACCTTTTACACAACAATACGGGTTATTACCCATAAATCCATCGGATTAATCGGCTTTCCGGTGGCCACGTCATTTCATTGGCTGTTATATAGACTCTACTAGAGTTGCGAATCTCTTGTATTATATGTCTCTGCCAAAAGGCAAAACATGATTAAGATTTATTCAACACAAAAAAATGTTGTCAGAATCTCACTTTATTTTGAAACAATGAAAAAAAAAATATTTACAGCAATACACTTACCAAAACTATTACAAAATTATTAAACACAAAACCAATAAAAAGGGTGCGAATGTGTAGGGTGCGAACGGACTTTGAGTACGAATGTGTTTTTGGGCGAACGGACCCGGATTCGTTTTCAGATTTTTCTGTACTCAGGAAATTGTTTTAGGCGTACAGATTACACTCCCATATTTGCCAAACGGGTTTGTTATCCCTTTTATTCAGGGATTCGGAGTCCTGTGCAATTTTTTTTTTCTGATCTGCATGCCCAAACGGCAAGTTTAAATTTATACAGGTTTTGTAACTGTTGTAATGTCTTTAGAAATACTTAAATATTCACAACCTTGATAAACAGCCGTCTATTGTCCCTTTAATGTGTCTGTATTGAGATTTGCCACCTTCGCCCAATTTTTTGGCAAGATTCTTCCAATCTATCGCAGTTTTTGTAATTCTCTTAGATGCCATTTCGTCCGACCTTTCTATTCAACGTCGATCAAGGACAATTGTAAAGGTCTTTAATACGTTTGAATTTTAGGGTCGCAAAAATTAGTGTCAACTCGTACCTTCCGATTTTTACCAACCCGTACCTACCAAACTCGTACCCATTTTTTATATTAATAATCCTGATCCTGATCCTAAGGTCAAAACATTGACACTACTTGTCTCATGGTACTATCTGTGACTTTATTAATTCATCTTAATCTGGTGCTCTTATTTCTTTAAGTAGTATCCCGCGGTACTTTGGTATCTATACTTTTATAGGCGCCGCGCAGGATCGGGGCTTGCTAGATCTCGAAATCGTCCTGAATTTTCTAAATATTCTACTATAATATGTGCTATTCTTTCGTAGGTCTCTTTTGAAGTTGGTGCCAGAAGTGTTTTCATAGCAGTCGGGATGTTCAATGTGTCCAACTGTCTCGTGTGCAGTTGCCGAATAGGAAATGTTCCGTATTTTCTTCTTCACCACATTCACAATATGGTATGAGACCTGACTCAAGCTAGCGAACAATTGTAGCGAAAAATTAGCTAGCGAACAATTAGGAGGTATAACTAAAAACCACAATATCACATAAGGTTATCACGTTTGTTCGAGCTAGCGAACAATTATGAGAATACATACAATCTTAAACAAAAACGAAAAAACTAACTTAAAACAAAAGGGAAACCATACTTCATATATAAAGAATACAAAGCTTTTCTTTCCTAACTAAATAAATCCACATAAGGCATTCAATAGACAGTTGGATTACAATGACCATAAGTTAACACATTGACACAATGCATTTTTAGTGAATGGGGGTGCACTTTACGTTGTTTGGTCCGATTAATCAAATTTTTGCGGTCGTATATTGGTATGACGTTGGCGTCGTCGTCGTCGTCGTCGTCGTCGTCGTCGTCGTCTGGCGTCGTCCGGCGTCGTCCGAAGACACATTGGTTTTCGCACTCTAACTTTAGTTTAAGTGAATGGATCTCTATGAAATTTTACCACAAGGTTCAATACCACAAAAGAAAGGTTGGGATTGATTTTGGGGGTTATGGTACCAACAGTAAAGGAATTAGGGGCCAAAAAGGGGCCAAAAATAAGCATTTTTGTAACTTCCAGACATAACTTGTGTGTTAGTGTATGGATCTCTGTGACATTGTACCACAAGGTTCCATATCACAAAAGGAATGCTGGGATTGATTTGGGGGGTAATTGCCTCCAAATTTTAGGAATTAGGGGCCAAAAAAGGGGCAAAAAACAAGCATTTTTCTAGTTTCATGACAATAACTTGTGTGTAAGTGTATGGATCTTTCTGAAATTGTACTACAAGGTTCCATATCACAAAGGGAAAGCTGGAATTGAGTTTGGGGGTAATTGCCGAAACGTTTAGGAATTGGGGGCCAAAAAGGGGCCAAAAATAAGCATTTTTCTAGTTTCCAGACAATAACTTGTGTTCAAGTGTATGGATCTCTCTGAAATTGTACTGCAAGGTACCATACCACAAAGGGAAGGCTGGGATTGATGATGGGGGTAATTGCCTCAATATTTTAGGAATTAGGGGCCAGAAAGGGGCAAAAAACAAGCATTTTTCTAGTTTCAGGACAATAACGTGTGTGTAAGTGTATGGATCTTTCTGAAATTGTACTACAAGGTTCCATATCACAAAGGGAAAGCTGGGTTTGAGTTTGGGGGTAATTGCCCTAAATGTTTAGGAATTTGGGGCCAAAAAGGGGCCAAAAAACACATTTTTCTAGTTTCCAGACAATAACTTGTGTTCAAGTTCATGGATCTCTCTGAAATTGTACTGCAAGGTACCATACCACAAAGGGAAGGCTGGGATTGAGTTTGGGGGTGATGAATCATAAGGGGGTTCAAAAAATTTAGGGGGGGGGGATTTTTTTTTTTTCCTTTTTTTTTTCTTTTAAAATTTTCCATTTTAAGTTGGTTATTTCTGATTTATATTTAAAAGCAAATAATAATGATATGGTAGGAGATACACACCAAACAGGATGTGTAAATTATTATATAATAAGTATTGTGCAATAGCAAGAAATTTTCAATTGCACAGTATTGCACAATAGCAAGAAATCTTCAATTGCACAGTATTGTGCAATAGCAAGAAATCTTCAATTGCACAGTATTGCGCAATAGCAAGAAATATCCAATAGCACAATATTGCGCAATAGCAAGAAATTGTCAATTGTACAGTATTGCGCAATAGCAAGAAATATTTAATTGCACAGTATTGTGCAAAAGAAGATACTTCGTATAAATTGCTTATTTCTTGACCAATTTCAATGGGGTTTTATTCTTGAATTCTTGGGGTTCTTTGATATGCTGAATCTAACCGTGTATTTAGTTTTCGGATTTTCGGCCCCGTTTTTAAATTGGTCCACATTGAGGTCAAAATGGTCCAAAATTAAACTTTGTTTGATTTCATCAAAAATTGAATTATTGGGGTTCTTTGATATGCCGAATCCAACCGTGAATTTAGATTCTTATTTTTTGGTTCCGATTTCAAATTGGTCTACATTAAGGTCCAAAGGGTCCAAAATTAAACTTAGTTTGATTTTAACAAAAATTGAATTCTTAGGGTTCTTTGATATGCTGAATCTAAACATGTATTTAGATTTTTGATTATGGGCCCAGTTTTCAAGTTGGTCCAAATCGGGGTCCAAAATTAAACTTTGTTTGATTTCAACAAAAATTGAATGTATGGGGTTCTTTGATATGCTGAATCTAACCATGTACTTAGATTTTTGATTTTTGGGCCCCGTTATCAACTTTGTCCACATTGAGGTCAAAAGGGTCCAAAATTAAACTTTGTTTGATTTCATCAAAAATTGAATTCTTGGGGTTCTTTGATATGCTGAATCTAACCATGTATTTAGATTTTGGATATTGGACCATAATAGGTGAATGTCCAATTTAAAATTTTTAAGTTCTTAGACCACATTCATTCTGTGTCAGAAACCTGTGCTGTGTCAAATATTTAATCACAATCCAAATGCAAAGCTGTATCAACCTTGAATGTTGTGTCCATACTTGCCCCAACTGTTCAGGGTTCGACCTCTGCGGTCGTATCAAGCTGCGCCCTGCGGAGCATTTTATTTTTTTATGTTAAACATGTAATATCACTTTTCATTCAATGTGTGTGTCCCCCCCCCCCCCCCCCCTGTTTCTTTACACTACAAACCAGTAAAAGTCTGAAATGGCCTATATCTGTACTCGACTGTACTGATTTTTACTCGACCAGTCTGAATTGGTCTGAAATTTACTTGATAATACTCGACTGTAGTCTGAACCGTACTTAACAGTCTGAACTTGTACTCGACCCTTACTCGACCAGTACTTAACCATTTTATACGTGTCTGAACCATGCTCGACCTAGTCTGAACCATGCTTGACCTAGTCTGAACCATACTCGACCTAGTCTGAACCATACTCGACCTAGTCTGAACCATACTCGACCAAGTCTTAACCAACCTAGACCTATTTTTTGTATCTATCTATTGTATTTCATCAATTTAGGAGCTGTTTTTAACAACAACTATTTCCCCTGGCTAGAAATTTGAACAACAATTTGAAATTAAAAATGTATTCAATATAGCATTGAAACCAAAATTTCACAATAAACATAATATAACTTCATCACCATATTCATCAACACTTATATACATACATATATTTCACCTTTAAAATAAAAATAAAACAAGCTGATCAAATAATCTCAAAACTGAATTGTGACTTATATTTTCAATGTTATTCAAATTTTTTTGAATGTTTCAGATATATTTTATGGTTACTGGACAATTTTCACCATTAACTTAAGCCTCGTATATAATGGTGTCAGTTGAGTTTAGTTAATAATGCAGTGAACATTTTTTTTATTAAAATATATATAAAATAGCATATAAAGCAACTTAATAAATTTAAAAAATGACACCTTTGTTTTGTTAAACCAAGAATTTAATATAATCCTGATAATAGAACTTCCATAGTAATCCTGTGATAAACTTTTAAAAAAGGAAATGTGTTCCAAAGTTACAGTAAAAATTTATTTCAATTACATTTAAATAATTTTTGTCAAAATTAAAGACATGGCATACAAGAAGCACTTTAATAAGGTTTAATTACCTCAGTACATGTGTGTTTTACAGGTAAAAAGAAAGCCCTATTTTTCTTAAACTCGTGTATTACTTATCTAATGAATTCAAAAGGCCTTGCGATTTAAGTTTCACAAGATGTTGCAATTTTGAATGAATGTTATTTAGAATTTAATACTCTCTGACCAGGTGTGATTTTTTTCATGAGTTTGCCCCAAGCAGGAGGTATTACTTTATACTTCACCACTAATCAGAAGAACAATTTTATTAATTTCTTTAATTTTTATCCCTTTTTGATATATTGTATATAATATATCCCAAATTATAATAAAAGATATATTTCTAAAATAAGGTTAAACAATTTCAGTGATTTTGTTGGCTGTTGTTACCTCATTAAAAAGATAATTATATAACTATTGTACATTTTTTGTATGTAACCATGAAACCTATATATGTAGTTTTTATCTAGAAAAAAAAACACATGCAAAACAAGAAGCACCTTAATAAGGTTTAATTACCCTCAGTATATGTGTGATTTTTAGGTAAAAGAAAATCTTTTTTTAACAAAACTCTAAAACTTTAAAAATTTAATATAATTAAATTATTATATAAGATAATTTGATTTAACTATCTCTATTCGATAAATCTGAGAATCATGTAAGAATGTAAAAATCTGTTTTTATAATATATCTTTATTTTATTGTGGCTGTTGTCATGTCAGTTAAAAAGAAATTTATTTTAACAGTTAAAATTTAGAAAAAGTAGAGGTTATTTGGTCAAATATGGTTCAGACTGGTCGAGTATTGTTCAGACCTTTGGTCGAGTATGGTTTAGACTGAAAAAAATAGGTCGAGTACAGGTCGAGAATGAGTTAAGACTGTTTCAGACTGGTCGAGTAATAGTTCAGACTATTTTCAATGGCAAAGATAA